AAAGCTGCGGCTCTGGGACTGAAGACGCACAGAGGAGGAGGGGGTGCTGCCTTCAGGCACGGCCGGAAATTTCGCAATCGCAACGGGAGCTGCGCAGTGATAGGTCAGAGACCGCTGACGCTTTATCGCTGTGATAATATCATATATGACGTGTGTCACACACACAAGTCTAATGAATCCATGAAAACAAACTGACTTTGTTATTATAATTGCTGTTGTTATGATGATGATGAAGATGATGATGGTCGGGTGCTGCGGGTCATAAACACTGTGCTGACGTCACAGTTGGCACACAAACCAACACTGTTCATTTCAGCGATCAGACTCGCCGGTGACTCGGCGGCGTCCCGCTGATGTGCGACCATCAGCACTTTCATCCCGCTCACCGCAGGCTCAACAACAGCGTAACAAAGAGGCCAAGAATGCAGCACGGGGGGGTGGGTGGGGGGGTTACAGGAACTCTGAATATTTAGTCCGAAATACTGAATAATTGTATTAAACTGGAGTTTTGAAGCACGTATGCAGCCCTGGTCCTGTTTATTATGTGACAAGATAAAACTATAAGAATTTAAACATGATCTCAGGATTGTTTTACAAAGTGGAAAAAAACATTTAGACCTGATTTAAACAAACTGTTCACATCTGTAACTAAAGTAAATATATGGCATTACTGTATCAGAATTTCTGATTTATTAAAGTTCAAATCTCTTTAATTCAGCATTTTCTAATTATTTTAATGACTTATTGTTCAGTAGCTCGGTCTATAATAATGTAGGTCAAACAGTCAACAGTCTGTTTGACCTGCTCCCCTCAGGCAGGAGGCTCCGGTCCATTCGCACCAGAACCTCTCGCCACAAGAACAGTTTCTTCCCCTCTGCTGTTGGACACATGAACAATAACCATATGACTGTTCCCACCACTAACTCATGACCCTACGCTGTGTCACTGCATCATTCTATGTTTGGCACTGATCACCACCTGCACTCATGCACATATCTTTCCACGTAGCACTTTTAATTCTTATCCCTACTTTTATTTTTTTCCATGTCTATTTAAGTGCTATTTATGACAGCATGTTTGCACTGAAGCACCGCAGCAATTTCCTAATGTTGTAAACCTGCTCAACATTTGGCAATAAACCCCATTCTGATTCTGATTCTGATTCTGATTCTGATGTAATTGTTTTGCCAAATAATAAGCAACAAAAGCTCCACGAGATGCAGTGATTATACTCAGGACATGCAGGAAACGCTGTAAGTATAACATGGAAATACTAAATGAGGTACAAGTACATTAAACCTGAGCAAAGTACTCAGTTACATTCCTGCAGGTCCTATCCTCGCTCTCATCCTGTGGTATCACGATTCAGTGGGGGCGGTGCCACCCCCTGCCCCCCTCCTATCCGCGCCCCTGTGGCTGAGGAGAACTGTCGATACCTTTTAAATTCATGCTGGAACTTTTGTTTTTTGTCAGATGTGATGTTTTTCCCCCTGGCCCTCCGTAGATTTGTATTTTGTGTTCCTGATCTGGTGGATTTGTTGCCCCAAACACATTAATCACCGGTTTGCTCCGTGTGTGCTGCTGCGTTTCTCTCCCGTGTTTGTTTTGGGGCATTGGAGACTTTTCGCAGCAGCAGAGACAGACGGGAAGCACCAGAGAGTCCTCGGACTCAGCACAGCGGGCTGAAATCACCTTCACCTCAGGACCGACACACAGAGCGATCCGCTCGAGGCCACTCCCCCCTCAGGTCTGCCTAAAGTCACACTCTGACTTTCACTCTCAAAGTCACGCTGCCTCCTCACAGAAAACGGTCACTTTTCATTCAGCAGCAACAAAATCACACTGTGTGTGTGTGTGTGTGTGTGTGTGTGTGTGCGTGCGTGCGCGTGCGTGCGCGTGTGTGCGTGTACACTGTTCATCAGTTGCTTCAGTAAAGCACGGATATGTGATCAGTTCCTGTCCTGCTGCAGATGAAAGCTGCTGATGAGACTCTCACGCGCTTGGAAAAGATGCTTTGAGGTTGTAGCTCCTGAACTCTGAAACCGCCGCCCTCAGCCAATCAGGTCGGCTCTGGTTTGTTTTAAACGTTAGCTTGTCTTGATTTTTAGGCCATGATTGGCCACAGCTGAAGCATGAACGTAAGACTGTGCGTCTGCTGGAACACACTGATCTTTAATACATGTGAAGCGTGTTGTGACAGTCTTATTAGTCTCATTAGTGCAACTGCTGTTTGTACTTTCTCACCTCATACTAGCAGGAAAACCTTTGACTGTTTACTCCACAAACCCCCCTTCAGGTTTTAGCTTTGTGTCTAAATCTGTGTGTCTGGTGCAGTTTTATCAGGATATTTGTTAAATAAATGACTGAGAGCAGTCTCCCCCCACGCCTCCAGTCTGACAGGGACACCACCAGCTCCACTGTGCAGCTTACAGATCAGGTCAACCTCAGCTGCTGGAACAGCACAGCGAGTATATACGCATGAGCACAGGTGGAGAGAAACACCAACACTCAGCTTTTCATGTCTAATTCAACAGCATACACACTCACTTCCTGTCTTACTCTTTCTTTGTTGAACTTTTCCTTTGTTCTTTCTGTTTTTCACTAAACCAAGAACGCGAGAGCTAAAGTTAGACCTCAAGGGAAAGTCTGAAGTCTGCAGGAAGCAAATGGAAGTCAGTGTAATGTCCTCTGAAGTGTGTGTGTGTACGTGTTTAGACATCTTTGTGAGGACCAGAAATTGACATGCTACTATACTTGTGGGGACCAAAAGTCACTTATGAGGACAAAGTGTCCGTCCCCACGAGTTTGAAGGTAATGTTTGAGGCTCAAGGTGTGGCTTAGTGTCAGGGTTACAGTTAGGTTATGGTTATGGTGAGCATGTAGGGGAAGCACTATGTCGATGAGAGGTCCCCGCTAATATATGAAAACGAGTGTGTGTGTGTTACATTCCTGGCTGGGAGTCATCCATCAGCTGGTAAACACCTCACAAAAGAGGTCTCACAGTACTCATTAACTGCTTTCAACACAAGTCAAAGCAAACACACACACACACTGACCCCGGTGACCTTGCCCTCACTCACAGATGACCTTTCACCGCAGTCTCCATGATTTCCTCACTTCTGATCAACACATTCTGGATCAATCGTTCCTCTTTTTCCCCTTGTTTCATTTTCCTGAAACGACTCGCTCCAGCAAAGAAGCTCAGTTTTCCGAGGCACCTGGAACGCATCACGGGAGGAGAAAGTCCGCGTGTTTTATGAGGTGATAACGGTTTGGGTTAAACGTTGTTTCACACCCAGCTGACGTCGACAAGCCGCACAAATGTGGAATAAATAATTATAAACAGAACAAGAACGTGGCTCCAGTTTTCGGCCAAATGCACCGGATTCATCTGACCTGGGATCAGTTTTGAAGGAGCATTGGTCCAGAGGAGATGAGGCTGTTTCTCCATCGTGGTCACATGTGGCTTCTTCTCTGCATGATGGAGCTGTAACCTCCACGCTGGTTTCTGGAAGTGTTCCTGAGCGTGTGCAGTTATCCTCCTGGATCCTTTAATGATGATGACATGTGCTGTCAATGATCAATCACAGATGTTCACAGATGTTTGAGGGTCGATGAATACCCGATTAACCTCCTTAGTGCTTCTTTTTGGTAACTCTTACGTCTCCGACCTTTAAAACTGTGTGAGTCCTTTATCTGATCAAACTGCAGCTCAGCATCAGTCCTTCTCTCTGATCTCAGATCAGCTGGCTGCTCTGTGATGGCCTCCACAGCGTCGTGGAAGAATCGCAGACACGGCGAGGGGGAGGAGCTCCATCAGGGGAGTGGGAACTTAAATCTGAGCAGAGAGCGAGGATCACCCATCCCACCGTGAGGAGGAGCACGGGGTGGTCAGCACTGCTGCCACTAGAAGGTTGTGGGTTTGAATCCACTGGCTGGCTGGGTTCTCCTGTGGCTTCCTCCCACAGTCATGCGTGGGCTTGGGCTAACGGGCTGTGGGTGTGGGTGGTTGTCTGTCTCTCTGTGTTAGCCCTGAGAGTCACCTGTCCCCCCCACCACCCTGAATCAGCTGCAGATAAGAACCTGGCTGAGATGGTTCATGTTTGTGTTAAATGTCATACGTGAGTGTTGATCATCTTCACTGTGGACGAATCTTTGGATGCAAGTTTCATGAGAGAAAATCCCAGAGACAAAGAGCTCGATGACTCAAACAGATACGTCTCAGCTTGTTCCAGATCTGCGCCGGACTCTCCAAAATTTCACACCAGCGTTGTGAAACGGTCAATGTGAAGGGAAAGCTGCGCAGCCGAGTCAGCAGCTGCAGATTTAATAAAAGAGCTGGTTTCAGGTCAGTGGGGCACAAAGAGAGAAGTCCGTACAGTCAGTGTGGTTTTGTTTTTGCTGCTGCTGTTTCTTCCAGTTTCACCGGCCAAGGAGTCGAGAATCGAAACTCTTCCACAAAAATGGCAACGATTTCACAAGCCCAGTGTCAGCGTGTGCTGCTGTGACCTTCAGGTGTTTAATGCAGCTTAGATCTGAACGGTAAATCAGCCAAAACAAGTCACGTCACATCAGCATTGGGCTACTTTTAAGAACCAGACAATCAGCAGACTCGTTCACAGAGAACGTTCCAGAATAATACAGGAAACTCAGTTTGACCACCTTCAACCGGCCACTGCAATAAAGTACGTTTTTTATGCTTGATCCAGAAGGACGCATCAACCTCAGCCTGCAAATCTGAATCCGAGTCACTGAAACTGCAGTTCCTCCAACGTCCACCAGAGGTCGCCCCCCAAAGCAACTCACTCCCCGCACATTCATGTGAAAAACAAAGTTTCCACAGACTGCAGTAGGGCTGGGTGTCGTCACTGATTCTAGAATCGATTCGATTCAATTGGATTTGAATCTGGGAAATTTTGCCTCAGACAGTCAGAAATATTATAATTCAGATCAGCACATTTACATATTTTTGTATCTATAAAAAGGAAGCTGACACTCACGAGACTTTATCACAGGTGTGTGCGTCACAGC